ATGATGGACGGATAGACACACTTTTGAATGAAAAATATATCAATGCTGCAATAAAAAAAGCCAAATAATGTGCTATGCTGTTACCTCAAGGTCAAAACATAGAAATACTTAGTCTTTCAGTTTAATTATAATACACTTCTGGTCATTTAATTTAATGGAGTGCTCCTATGATGGATGGATAGACACACTTTTGAATGAAAAATATATCAATGCTGCAATAAAAATAAGCCAAATAATGTGCTATGCTGCTACCTGAAGGTCAAAACATAGAAATACTTAGTCTTTCAGTTTAATTATAATACACTTCTGGTCATTTAATTTAATGGAGTGCTCCTATGATGGACGGATAGACACACTTCTGAATGAAAAATATATCAATGCTGCAATAAAAATAAGCCAAACAATGTGCTATGCTGTTACCTGAAGGTCAAAACATAGAAATACTTAGTCTTTCAGTTTAATTATAATACACTTCTGGTCATTTAATTTAATGGAGTGCTCCTATGGCGGACGGATAGACACACTTCTGAATGAAAAATATATCAATGCTGCAATAAAAATAAGCCAAACAATGTGCTATGCTGTTACCTCAAGGTCAAAACATAGAAATACTTAGTCTTTCAGTTTAATTATAATACACTTCTGGTCATTTAATTTAATGGAGTGCTCCTATGATGGACGGATAGACACACTTCTGAATGAAAAATATATCAATGCTGCAATAAAAATAAGCCAAATAATGTGCTATGCTGTTACCTCAAGGTCAAAACATAGAAATACTTAGTCTTTCAGTTTAATTATAATACACTTCTGGTCATTTAATTTAATGGAGTGCTCCTATGGCGGACGGATAGACACACTTCTGAATGAAAAATATATCAATGCTGCAATAAAAATAAGCCAAATAATGTCCTATGCTGTTACCTCAAGGTCAAAACATAGAAATACTTAGTCTTTCAGTTTAATTATAATACACTTCTGGTCATTTAATTTAATGGAGTGCTCCTATGATGGACGGATAGACACACTTCTGAATGAAAAATATATCAATGCTGCAATAAAAATAAGCCAAATAATGTGCTATGCTGTTACCTCAAGGTCAAAACATAAAAAAAAACTTAGTCTTTCAGTTTAATACACTACCGGTCATTATCAATCGAGATGTTCTTATCTTCATTTCCAAACTTTAAGTTGTTAGCAGCATGTATACTGATATTGGATTCCATCACGTTGATAACAAATATTTAGATACCTTTTTTGGAATCAAAAATATTGCAGCGACGTAGCTTTCGATGTCATCGCGACATCTTCATTGAGCGTAGTGAATTAAAACACTCCGGTCATGTGACCGCCTTTTGGGCGATCACAAACCAGCAGGTAATCATAGATGGCAGGCAGGTCGTATCCGGTGTTTCTGTTAAGGGATGCCTTTTGCGTCCTGATTTCAATTGCTTCGCGTATTTTCATTTTCCTCTTCCCTGGTAATAACTTATTAGACATTTTCCAAGCTGATGGAGTTGTTGATGATAAACCAATGGCACTTATAAAGTAAATATAAGCCAGACTTAGGGTAGAATTCTTAGAAATGTCCTAACTCCAACCTCGGGAGAAAATAGCCTGGGGGTGTGAATTTACGGGTAATTCAGGAATCGGGTACCCGATTAAAGAAAAACACGGGTACCCGATAAAGAAACCCAACCCAAAAATTTAAATCTCGGAAGTTGCTGTAGATTGTTAATACTACCACATCCACACGTACCGGTAGCATTTATTTGAAAAACAAAAATGAGGCATTCAGGCATTCTTATTACAACTTTCAAAAGAAAAGTTGTGAAGTCAAACTCCATATTACTTTATGGCAATGTGGAATTTGACTGACCCAAATATTAAAAGAAATTTAAAACTTACCCATAACTTCAAGTGGATTTCTAGCCTAGTTGTCAATTGCCAACAAAACTGGAAGATTTCAGCTTCTTCAATATTAAACATACAATACTGCCAGCTCCCGCAGAAACTGTAAATACGTACAATGTGGTGTGGGTGCAACAATCTGTCCTATAGTCCAAATCTACAACTGACGTAAACACAAACTTTACAATTCTTTAACATTCTTTCGTCTCGGGCCCTTTGGAATCAGGTTTATGATCCGAGAGGTTAAAAAAAAATTAAAGGTGCAGTGAACAACATTAACAGAATTTTCAACTCATCAAGTCAGTGTTCTAGTAACACAATTTTTTTGCTGACATAGAGAAGGGGTACGCTGGCTAATCAAGCAAAATCAGGGGTGCAAGGAATGGGGTTCGGCGCCTCAGTTCCCGGTCCCCCTCCAATCTGTGAATGAGTTTGTCCCTCTAACTTTTCTAAAACGGTTACCAACCACAAAACTTTATTATCTCAGTACAGCACACCTACATTTTGTAGCCAGTTCCGAATTCCAAAGCGCACACAACAAACACATCCGGATATCCGATAAGCGCTGGCCCATTCTTTGTCACTCGTTCAATCAGATTACACAGGGCATGTCTAGGTGGCTTTTGTTGTGATCTGCGACTTTGCAAACAAACACACACACATCGAAACTGGGTCTGTCTTGTGACCCAAATCAATGCACTTGGCACAAACCAAACAGTACCATTGTCATATCTACCTAAGCACTGTGAAACTTAAGTTCTAAAGTCTGCACTCAGACTTTAGACTCTGGCAAGAAACAGGAGATTACACGAACAAGGGACTGGAAATGCATTGTCACAACCAAAGATACTGGTACGCAGCCAGATAATAATATAAAGTTTTATCTTGATCCCAGATAACAAAAGGCGATTGTAATAAGTAAATAAACAAACCTGTGAAACAAAACAAAGCTGTGTTTCTAGAGACTGCACTGACTCGTTCACTCTGTAATATGTACTTTGCTCACATAACCTTTTCTGGCATGTAGCCAAAAATATTAATAAACCTGTTTCTAGACACAATCAGATAATTCTTTTCTCATGACTTATAGACTTACAATAGATTAAGCAATTTTTAAGGTGTATCAATACTTAATAGTTTGGCTTGTGGCCAAGTTTACCTGAGCAAGAACACACTTCTAGATTGAGCAGTTTTTAAGGTGTACCAAATACTTAACCTTTTGGCATGTGGACAAGTTTACCAGAACATGTATACATAATAAATATATATCATGCAATAAATTCAGAATATGAGCTAATCAAACTTTGGCATATCTCTCTTCTGGATAGACTGTTTCGTACCATAAGGTACTCATCAGCAGAATGACAAAAAAATAGAATACAAGTAGCACCTTACCCATAGAGCTATATTAAATTACTAGGGTGCTAACTCTTCATTCTTGCATGCGGGGACGCTTTGAAGCCGCTCTGGGCACAGACATTTTGAATTTATGTGCGTGTTTGTAGAACACAATCAAAATTGTGAATTGTGATAGAAGATGATTTCATTGGATATAACTATATACACTTTTTTTTTTTGCAGTGAAAAGTTTTGCCACTTTTCTTGAAGTAAAAGGACAAAACATACCTTACAATGATACATTGGTGATCTTCCTCCTAACTACTCCATAAATGGAGTTTAACTGTATGTGTGGTTGAGAGTGGTCAACTAACTTTTTTTTTATTTTCAACGCAGACTTGAAGGATGAGGCACTTTTCAGTGAGACAATGGGTGACTACGTGGCTCCAGTCTTTGAAGAATGAGTTACATACGTAGCATATATTGTATCTGTTCTGGTCTGGAATATTTGATATCGATTTGTGTGTCTTCTTCTTGTACGTTTGTTTGTGGGGGCGTACAATTTATAAGCTGGAAGGTAATCAGGACCCGTTGAGCTAGGATTGCAAACTACAAAATCGCTCCAGTGAAATTTTACTTTTTAGGCCTTTTCACACTCGCCTACCCATGTTGAATTGAACACGAGTACATCCAATGTGACGCAGAAATAGGGCATGTTCAATAGTGCAATACGCATACCTTCAACAGTTAAGGTATACACCTGTAGGCATGCAACTGGGAATTAAAAAAAAAAAGAGCAAACTCCAAACCACTTCATGTAGTTTTTTTTTCTTCAATTTTTGCAAGTTCCTGCAAGTTCATCACAAGTCCTCCAGTCCCAATTCAATTAAACCACAAGCTAATCAAATGAGCTTTGACAAACGCATTCCTTTGTTGTTGTTCCTCCACTGTTTCTTGTGGTTTACTTGTGACTGGACTGACTACAGGGTGAGTAAAAAAAACACAACCCAAATGTTTGGACTATTGTTTTAGTGAAGTTCTTCATGTAGCACTTTGAAAATCTAGGATATGAGAGCCCAATCCATATAAGCTTTCTTTTAGGACAAGAATCATTCAAATCACTAATGTACTTTTCAAGTTACAGAATTTTAAACACAACCACCGTTCTGTCCACGGATCACAATAAAAAGGTGTGCGTTCTTTCAGCAAAACGAAAACAATTCACACACATCCCTATGTGATTTGTTTTCGTTTTGCTGAAAGAACACAGAATTTTTTGAAATCCCTGGACAGAACCTCAAAACGGTGGTTGTGTTTAAAATTAACTTAAAAAGTACATAAGTGATTTGAATGATTTTTGTTCTACAACAAAGTTTATGACTTGGGCTTTCATATCCTAGATTTTGAAAGTGCTACATGAAGAACTTCACTAAACCAATGGTCCCAACATTTGGGTTTCGGTTTTTTTTACTCACCCTGTACAGCTCTGGGGAAAGGGCCCATAATTAGCCAAATTGACATTTTGTTTGTGCATGCACTAACTCATCTTATCGATGCAACTCACAGCTTACAGCAAACATGGGTTTGTTTAAATCCAAAATTGGGTCCAAAAATTCTTTGCTCGCACAAGATGTCAAATTGGCGTAATGGAAATAGAACAATGGGATTTTTAAAAGCCGATTTGAACATCACGACATTTGAGCCAATACGTGTATTTCAGATTGTTGCATGCAAAGAGTTAAGAAACTCACCTCTGTGTTTCACGAGCTTTCCCCGCCTATCATGACCTCACTTCATCTTTATTCATTGTCCATGCTGATGAATATTCATAACTCGGGTAGATAGTGTACAACGTTGCCAGGCCAGCCTTTGGATAAAGTCTCCTGCAGACAACAAACAAAAACACAAAAAGAGTTTATTTCCAAAATTCAATAAACGCCATTTTGTGTTCTTTTAGAATCCCATCCTCTCTTGGATCTGATACATCATGCCCAATGGAGACATGCACACAATACATGTACCGGTAGGTCACAAAAGATTGTATACGTCTCCACAGGGGAATTTCCATAGCTGAATACGTCTCCACAAGGTTTTACTCAAAAACTATGAATTTCCAAGGTATGTTGATCTATCGCAAATGGTACAGTTTTAAAAAGGGGATATTAAGTCCGAATTTCAGCCAAGGAAATTAATTCTGGTTAAAATAAGAGCATATTTTGAAACTGTACTTTCAAACTCGAAAACTTTAGTACACGAGAACAAAGAAATGTCTCCACAAGGATACAAATTTCAGTATGTACAGCTCCCAAAGTCATTTACGACAGGTTTCATGCAGTTAAACACAACCTAATAAATCAATAAAGCAAAAAATTAACTTTAGAAACAGCTGTCATACTGTTTTTATTCTGTAAAGTTTCATAATTGTGGACATTTTCCACCTTTTTTAAATGGATATATCGCGTTTTAGAAATACAGTGTAATCTCGACAGGTAAAACCTTAGGGAATGGGCTCAAATGTTTAGTTAAGCAGAGTTTTGAGTTATCCAATGAATTTTCTATTCCACAACAATTGATGACGGGAATAAGTTTTTACTTTGAGTTAGAAGGGTTTTTGAGTTAACAGGTTTTGACTTACATGTATCGAGATTTCACTGTAAACTCTTCATTTACAACTGCCATTGTTTTCTAATCAAATGAATTGTGTTCCTACCGGCATTGTATAAAATATGTCACCCATCTTCACTGAACTTTCCAAAAAAATATCAGTATTTTGTGCAGAGTGATCAAAACCTGTTTCCAATTCTGTTCATTAAAAAAAGCTTTTTAGGTCATCAATGGTTGCTATGTTTCTGATTTTAAAATGTGTTACTCTCAGTGAAAAACCCTCAGATTTTCCCTAGCAACCACTTTAACGTCTCTAGCAACCATCTCAACCCCATCACATCATCGTTAATAGTTTGCCTACCTTTGTCGTGTGAATTTTATCGTCACTTCAGTAATGTGAATGCTTTCTCTTTAGGTTAGGGTATAATATATTTCATTTGAATCAAAAATGACTAGATACAATTGCCTTGAATTTCTTCTGCAATAGGCCTGTAAGTCAATTGTTTCAAATGTAAAAATACTGTCAGTTTATTTGAGCAACTGCACTGATATGACAATGATGTCAATTCAAGAGTTCAATCTCTGACAAAAAAAAATCCTTTAAAATTCAAAAAGGAAATTTTAATCTACAATATGTTGACAAGAAGGTAAGAGTCACAGTCAAGAAATAAAATTATCTGGCTTTTTCAAGAATGGCAGGTGAAATTGTTGACAATGAACAGGGACACCACAAAGGCACAAGCTCCTAATGACCACACACAACCAAGGGGGGGGGGATGCAAAAAAAAGGAAGAAAAGAAATCCATGAAGATCAGAAAATCCACTGCGTTTTCTGTTGAATGCAATTGGATAATAAGACCCTCGGCATATCTCTGATCTGCTCCATCAAAATGAGGAACAGGCACGAAAATCCTTCACAATTAACAGTACAGTCATTCACTGCAAAGTGTATTGTAAGCCACTATCAGAAAAAAAAGAGAAAACTCTTGTTCTTACATACGTGTAAGTACATGAAAATGGTGCATTTTCTTTCATTTTACATCCCTTTAATCAAGTAGACTATAGTTCATCACAAATAAATATATTTTTCATTTTAACTCAAGAATATGTACCAGTAACTCACAAGATACCAACTGGATGCACATACGGTGGTTATAGTAATTTAGTAATTCAGTATCGAGGACAAGCAGCAGGGTCCCTTCATCTTATACCTCATTTCAATAGAGCAGGTTGTGGGAGGGTGAGCGCGAGAGAAAACGTTTTCCAATTGAGCTGCGCGGAGGCTGTGACTGCTTGAATGAGTCCGGCAGACTGGACGGACAATAGCCGAGCAGATGGAACGACGGTTTGAGGCATCAAAGGCAAGCTTCGGCCTATTCTGCGGCCGGACAAAAGCGACTCTATGCGGCTATTGTGTTGGCGCATAGGTGCTCAAAACCCCCCTGCATCATCGGAAGGAACTCTCCGTGATTAGATTTCCTCCGATTGCAGGTTCCAAGATCTTTTTTCGGGACGCAGATTTTTTTCCCTCTTGTTTGGAGATGCGCATCTCTTGGAAAAGTACGCGCATCTATCTCATAGTGCCCTGACGATAATTTACCAGTACATCAACATTTATTGGAAAGCTGAAAGATCATTACTTAGGCTTTTAACAGAAATGATGAATGACACTGGTCACTGAGATTTACACTTTCACAATTAAAAAAACCTGATACCATTGACAATCAATACTCTTTGATCTGACATAGAAACATAGTGAAGATGAAGGTGTTGGGCCATGCAGAACTGTTTAAATCTACATAACTACATACCGGAACATTCATACATTTCGTTCTTGAAAGGGAGGGAAGATGTGTGTTTATTTGTATACTGTAGTTTTCATCCTCTTATTATTTCCACCAATCTAATTATATTTACAATATTTGCAAATTTGAAAGTTCAATGTGATATGAAAGGATGAGGATAACAATTGTTAGTTTCTTAAACTTGCTAACATTTTTTTCGGAGAGCAGAATACACTAGTATTTCATTTGCTCTTCAAATTTATAAACATGTACACTCAGTGTGACAATGATGTTGGACACGGAAACTAAACGGACAGTTTCTATTGATTCCCATGGTGCGAGAGCTGTTTAAAAAACAAAAGTGCTCTACCTGAATCTGGCAACTTCGGATTCATTTTGTTTGGTTGGGTCAGATGTAATATTCATACACTTTTACATGTCTATGGGAGATGATCATACACTGCACTTTGAGCACATAATTTGTAGGTGCTGAACGTGTTTGCACTTATATTGCACTTTTCACACCGTCCATCAACCTCTTGTCTAGTGGATGTGCACCCAGTTCAAACCAAGCTAACAAATGTTTTCCAATAATTACACACTAATATCACAGATGTCAGATGAATTAGTCCAAATTTGGTGAAATTGTGTTAGGGTAGCTCCGGCGCGCCGTTAAAGCGTTTTGATTCGATCACGGGAACGGCCGGATACAAAACGCAAGCGCCCTGACCGCGAAGAGGCCTCCTCACGAAAATTGGCCGGGAATTGACGGGGATGGCGTGTGACAGACGTTGGGGTTTTTCTTTTGACAACTGGCTTTCTTTTGCCATTGTCAGGCGGGGAAATGTCGCGGGTACAAGCGCCCCGGGCCACGCGAGACTTAATTATGTGCAAGCGGTTTCATTAGGCACAATTTGGCCCGCGTTTTACCATCATGCAGGCAAGCACTGAATAAACAATAACATTGTTTATTGAACATGAAGAAGGGAAATTTTTCAAGATTCCAAGTTTAATATAAATCGCCAAATCTAAAAGTGCACGGAACTTTATAAATGCACTGCAGACCTTAAGGTTTTTCCCAAGACTTTTAAGTCTCAGCCGATGAACAGCACTTTGTTATTCTGATTTATTTTAGGCAAGTGCTGCCTTTCTACACAACATTTTCATCCAGCTAAATTAAAATGCACTTCACGAATGAAACTTTACAATTGGGAGTTAACACTGACTAATGAATATAATGTCTTAGGAACAGAAAGCAAATTAAGATCCTGCAAGTGTTGTCAACTTGGATTAAAACTGCTATGTTTTCAGAAATACAGTGTCTGGTGTACATGTAACATACCCTACAAACATGACAAATGTACTGGTACCCTATGTACACTCTGCATCACAGTATGCATGTATACATTGTGCATATCCTGCAATCATTTATAAACAATTTAACACACTGTAATACAATGTATTAACTTACCACTTATAATCAATAAAGCATTTCCTGCAAAAGGGTATTGCCCTTATTGTATTAAAGCTTTGTTCAGCTGTGACTTGAAGAAATCTCAACTTGAAATTGTTTGATGTGCTTGCAGACAGCATACATTGTACATAGTTTGTTGGACCTCAGCAAATCTTGTGACAGGGACTGTATTACAGGTCGACTCAATGTTGTTATAATTTCAAATCCAGCAAATGTGAAGCTGCTTTCTCTATGCTGAAACATACCTAAGAACCACTAATTACATATTTTCACATAGAGATAATTATCCAAGATCTTGAACTGGTTTGGAACAGGGCCCAATTTCATGGCTCTTAGTCTTACCACAGAATTCTGCGCTTACAATTAGGCCAACAAAAATATGTTCTGCTTCCGATTACATGGCATTTGAAAATAGGTAGGGTATCTTTTTGTTGGCATTTTGTTTGTGTTGATCATATGTACAAATGTAGGAGTCTGCATGTAGTCAAGAATGAAAGGTAGTAATTGATGGGGTTTTTTTTGGGGGGGGGGGGGGGTTCTCCTCATTTTCCCCAAAACAAAACTAGGGTAGGGGCTGTCAAAAATAGGGTACCATAGGTAGAGTAACCGGAAGCAGACCTATTATTTTTTGTTGGCCTTACCATTTTGTGCTAACAGCGCTAGCAGAAAAATTCTGCACTATCCCTGTAAACACATCAGAATCCTTACTTACTTACCAAAATTCCTCACAAACCTGTGAAATACGCTTACCTAAAGCACGGAAGTTTGTAGCAGGGACTTTTCGCTAACGGTAAGCAGAGCCATAAAATTGGACCCAGGTAGCCAAAGTTAATGAAGCTCCACATTTAATAGTGTCACAGAAATCACAATGAGATTGTCTGTAAGTCTCACATTTTTTCGCAACTTTGCGCTCGGGACACTGAGAACTCCAACTTGAGCCTTGCATACCTTGGCTTTAGTTTGGACTTATTGTTGATTGTTTTTTCAAAGTGGTTGAAAATGCCTCCTGAGGAATTGAGAA